CAGCACTCAGTAACATGTAAGATCCACTGCTCTAAACTCTTGACAGGACGGAGTGGTTTTCAACCCTCAATACACATTCGAATCACCTGGAAAACTTAAAAAAAAAAAAATCCCACAGCTCTGGCATCACTGCAGACCAATTAAATACAAATTTCTGGAGGTGGGCTTCAGGCATTGATATTTTTATAATCTCCTCAGGAGATTTTAGTGCACAGACAAGATGGAGAAACACTGGCCTAGGGGGTTTATTTGTTGGAAATAACAGAGTCTTGGTCAATATAACCCAAGCAATAAGATAGTAAATTTTGAAGGAAAGAAGTCCTATAATCTTACAGGAACTAGAAAGTACCAGAAGCCCGAACCATTATCTTCCCATCTCTCATTTTTCTCTTTCTACACCCACATTTTCTGTTTTCTGTTTTTCTCTATACATCTGCTTGATTACCCCACTCTTTGAGGAACAAGTACTCTGCTCTTTCACTGTTTCTGTGTTTTCATTCTGTGTCTTGTATGTGGTTTGACATGTCATTGGACTGACTCCCTCCTCCCAAATCTGCTTATCATTTTAGCTCTGGCACTCACAGCTCAGTGATGTCTAGAATCTGGGCAGATTTATTTCTCTCATAAGACTTCAACTTGAAACAAGAATAAAGGATTCCATTTAAAAAATAAAAATAGTTTCTTATTTTATTGGAGAGAAGAAATATTTAAGAAATACTTTTCTGCTAACAAGGAATTTACAATGTAATTTAAAGACACTCTCACCCCCAGTGTAGTAGTAGCTATCCATTATTGACAATTAGGAGAAAGAGGGAGAGGACAAGAAGGTGAACATACAGAACAATTTCAAGTCCATAAGTCCTTAAACATCTCATACATACTTGGTCTGTCCAAAAACCTGCCTTCTGGCTCTCAATCAAGTCAGTACTCCGTGTCCTGCAATAACCTTTCTCCTGAAAATCAGTCCTGTTACCACTGATTCTTCCTTACTTCCATGGCCCACCAACAAAGCAACATAACTTAGCAGCTCTAACCTGCCACCAGAGAGTTAGTCTTCATTTTCTCCTATTGTGACTGGACAGACCATTAACTAACTCACTGTCCCTTTAGTTTTCTTTGACATGTGTGTTTGTTTAGGGCTCCAGCCATGCACCCCAAGTGTCCTGGGATGCCATCCCTGCTGTCAACAGCTTCCTATTAATTCAGTGAACTTTAGGGTTTTATTACATACCAAAAAAGTCACCATCTAGTCTAACTTCTCAAACAACAACATCATTGATAGCCATTCATCTGGCTTCTACTGAAACATTTATAGAGAATGGAAGTTTTTAGAAGTGTGCCACAGCATAGCTCTAACCATAGAGTTATTTCTTGCCAGCAATAGATACTCAATAGCTGTTGAATTTAATATAGAGCTGGAATCTATGTCCACATTATCCTTCCTTTTGCCTTCCTGTGCTTTCTGAAGTGATAGCAAGTTATTTATTCAGGTTCCAACTGGAAGAATTTGGAAATTTGTGAGACTCATATCAAGACTCCTTTGAGCCTTCTTTTTTTCGGGGACAAACATCTCCAGTATCTTTAGCTGTTCTTTGTTTACAAACATTCCCATTTTTCTTGGTTTTCTGGTTTTCTCGTTCCTCTTTATTGAGGTGCCCTGGCTTGTTCTAAAACGCCACACTCAGAAATGAAAAACACTATATTAGATATAAATTAGCCAGTATGAGGTACATTGAATGGATTGTTCTCTTAATATATGGCCACTTTACTTCTCCAGAAGCAATTTATGATTAAATTAATTTTTTGGCATCTGCAGCCTCTGATTTATCCTGAGCAAATTGCCATTGAAAACCTGTGGATCTCTCATTCAAAATCTACTTCTTAGCTAACTGTGTCTATCCTACTTGGGCCACTGCTTGAATCTAATTGTAGGACAGTACATTTATTTCAATTTAAGTATTTCTGTTCTTTTTGCCACTTATAATTTCCACTCTTATTTACTCTATCACTTATCTCAATTCTGCATCATTATTAAATTTGACAAACACCTTCAATTGCCTACTCTGTGTTCTCAACTTAATATGCAAAGGCTACATTTCTAGAGACTAAGGAACCAATGTGAAGGCATACGTCTTTAAAATATTAGGATTTCTGTCTCTTTTTGAAACACACAATGTGTAGGTATCCTCTTTTAATTTTAAGTACACAGATCACAGCTCCACAGCTTGATAAACTGCCACAAAATGCACACACCGTGTAACCACCAACCAAATCAGGAAAAAGAACATGACCAGCAACTCAGAAATACCAAACAATAATACCCACCCCCCCCAAATAAAAACTACCCTAATTTATGCCAATGCATTAGTTTTGCCTCTTTCTGAAAATCATATAAAAGATATCCTTGGATGTACTCTAGTGTCTAGCTTGCTTGTTTATTCTCAGTGTTGGACAATATTGTGTCAAATGATTTTACCACAATTAATCCATTGTACTGTTCACAGTTTTAAGCTAGTAAAAGTAGTGCTACAATGTACCTTTTTGATATCTTCTGGTCCTTGGTATATGCATTTCTGTCCGGAGGGTTCTAGAATATGTGTATATTCAGCTTTAGAAGACATTCCCAAATTGTTTGCAAAGGAATGAATGGTATCAATTTATTGTCCACAAACTGGGTTCAAGTGTTTTACTTCTTCCATACCGTGGTCACTGCTTGGTGGTCTTTATCGTTATGATATCAGCATCCTCATAACCACTTAGATGCAGTGGCATCTCACTGAGGTACGTAAATTATATTTTCTTGATATTATTGAGGTTGAGTACACTTTTATTTGTTTAATAGCCATTCAGACATTCTCTTTTGTGAAATGTCAATTGAAGATTTTTGCCCATTTAAAAAAATTGGGTTGTGCTCGCTTAGGCAGCACATATACTAAAAAAATTGGGTTGTCTCTCTTTTTCTTGTTGGGTACAGAAATATATAGCTGTGCACTATATATATGTGTGTGTGTATATATATGTACATATACATATATATGTTTGATATATGTATTACAAATAGATTATTTCACTCTTTGGTTTGCCTTTTCATATTCTTCATAATGTCTTTGGATGAGCTGAAGTTCTCAATGGACTATGTCTAATTTTTCTGAAAGACTTATTTATTTAAGAGAGAGTGAGGGAAAGTATGAGTGTGAGAAGGGAGGGGGAAACACAGAATCTCAAGCAGATTCTGTGCTGAGCATGGAGCCCAAAGCGGGGTTGGATCTCACAAACCTGAGACCATGAGCTGAGCTGAAATCAAGCGTCAGATGCTTAACTGACTGAGTCACCCTAGCACCCCGACTATATCTAATTTTTAAGTATTTTTTTAAAGTATTTTCATTTATGTGTTTTTCTTGTTTGTGTCCTCTAAAAACTCCATTCTAACTCTAAGGTCATACAGAATAGCCTATGTTGTTACGCCCAGGTAGCTTTATAATTTTATCTTTCATATTATGATTTACCATCTGTGTGGAATTTGTGTTTTAACATATTATGAGGGAGGGATATACATTTATTTTTTTCTATCTTTTTTACATGGGGCAGTAAGTCTTCCAAGACCATTTTTTCCCTACAGCACCAGAGTATCAACTTTGTCACAAATTAAGTGACTATATGTGAGAGTCTTTTTCTGAAATATCTATTTTCCTCCATTGATTGATTTATGTATTCTTTTATCAGTAATACTATGTATGAAATACTGTAACTTCAAAACAAGTTTTGATATCTCTAAATAATTTGTCCAGTATTCTCATTCTTTGTCAAGACTGCCTCAGTCATTCTTGGCTGTTTGTACTTCTGGTTTGGCTTGGGATCAGTTTGTGAGTTTCCACAAAATAAAAACAAAACAAAATGAAACACCCTCTGTGTCTTTGATACTGCATTGAATCTAGGTAGATAAATTAGCTGAGAATTAAAAATTTTCATTTTTCTCAATAATGTGTCCTGCACATCTTTAAAGTTCTTATGAGATTAATGATTTTCTGCTATTTTAAATCCTATTTTTAAATTCAGATTTTTATTTGTATACTGATAGTGTATATAAATGGACTTGACTTTTAGGTATTGACCTTCTAACCTGTGATTTTGTATGTACCCACAGATGTTTGATATTCTATGTTTCACAACATTTATGTAGGAAAATACAGTGTTATTTACTCCTTTCAAATCTTGTACCTTTTAATTTTTCTCTTGCATTTATTTTTTTATTTTCTCAATTATATGATCAAAAGCAATTGATAGCACCAGGTCTCTTTCTGATTTCAGTAAGGAAACACAATATTTCATTAAATTATACTACAGTATATAGGACACTCACAGTGTCTGCCCAATATTATTTCAGAATTGTTATGGACAAGTGACTACTGTGTCCATCCTACTCCATCTCTTTCAACCATGAGTGTTTTATTGGGAGTAATGTTTCCTCATTCTGCCAGTGTATGTAGGTGAGTAGAAGGCAGAAGATTGGCTTTTTTAGTTCATAGATCAGGAAGAGGCACATATGAGGTCTGGAAACCATCACGGAAGTTTGGACTGAGGGTCTGATACTGTGTTAGGATGGGTGTTCAGGGAAGCTTCCTTGGGAGGGAGATGAGTATAGTTTAAATGTGGAAGATTAAGATTAAGAACACAGCTTATTGTAGCAGTTAGCTTTTGCTGGATATCAAACAACCTCAAAACTTGGTGGCTTAAACAAAAACTATGCATTATTTCTAATGATACTGTGTGAAAATCATCCAGGTAAACTGGGCAGGTCTTTGGGTCTGAGCCAGATGGATTCATTCACAGGTCTAGGGTTGGCTTTACCAATACAACTCTTACCAAGATTACCAATGATCCACATATGACTGGTTCTGCTAAGTAAACAGTATCTATCTGAGAAAGTTGACACTTGAGACTTTTAAGAAACCAATAGACATGACTGGATTTTTTTTTTCTCCTTTGTTTGATCATTGTAGGTCTTCTGTGATTTCCATGGCCACTCTCAAAAAAAGAATGTTTTCCTTTATGGCTGTAGCATCAAGGAGACTTTGTGGCAAGCAGAGTCTACTGTGGGCACATCAACTATCTCAGAAGACATCACCTATAGGGTAAGGCACTGGGGAGAATGACTCAAGACATTTGTGTCCATATTCTTGCCTTTGAGACACACACTCCACCCTTTTTTCCCCTAAATAAGCATTTTGATTATTTTAACTATAGGATTATAATGTAAGCAGGTTGGAAGCATATGTAATCTCTCTATATTTTTTGATGAATAATGACTGTATTACCTGGTTACTCTGTTTTGTTTTCTATATGATATGATATAGTGCAAAGGGCATAAGAATTGGAGACAGGAAACCTCATTTTAATGCCTGGTTTTACAATTATTAACTGTACACCTAGGAGTCCTTAACATCACCTCTCTGAACCATCATTTGTCACCTGTGAAATGAGGAAGATAAAAATACTGCTTCTGTTTCATGTTTATGAGAGCAACAAAATGATATTGAATATGAAAGGATTTTATATAACTATGAAGGAATGAAAAAATGTAAAGCAGACCATCTGCATCCCTCTGTATAAGCATGCTCTAAAAAGCAGAGCAGTGATCCACTGAAACTAATTTTGTTTTTTCCTGGGTTCCAGTGGTTAGAGCTCAGCTATACCCCCACTGAACCAAAAACAAAGTTAAGGATGGGTAAAGAAGGATGGACTATTCCTGTCTGGATAAAAGGAATCAGGAAGAAGTAGATGAGGCAACGTTGTCCAAACACAAAATAAAAACTGGCCTTTATTTCAAATGTATAAAGAAAATGAAGAAAAACTATTGAATTGGAAAAATCTACAGTTCTCCAGTGTCCTTCTCCTTTACTTTCACACAGAACACTTTACTTCTGATACTTCTGGTCAGCAGATATGTGGGAGTTTCACCCCACCAAGCACTTCTGAGCTTGGTTTCCTACAATTTAACTCAATCCTCACACTGTCTATCCAGAGACAGTATCACATCCCACAACTTAAGGACTCAGTCCCACAAAACTGCTTCTACTTTTGATGCTTGACACAAGTAGGTGGTCCCATATTACCCACAACTTCTGTCCGGCTTACCTGTATATTGGAAGGTCCCATGACCTACCCCCCTGCCTTGGATTCAATTATATTTGCTAGAATGGCTCAGAGAACTCAGGGAAACACTTACTTATATTTACCAGTTTATTAAAGTGTATGATAAAGGATGCAGATGAACAGCCAGATAAGAAATACATAGGGTCAAGACTGGGAGGGTCCCAAGTAGAGGAGCTTCTGTCCCTGTGGAGTCAGGGCTGAGTATAATCCTCCTGGCATGTGGATGTGTTCACCAACTTGGAAGCTTTCTGAAACCCATACTATTGAGATTTTCTGGCAACTTCATGTAACTGTGAACAATTATTAATTCTTTTCCAGTCCTTCTCCCCCACTTCTAGAGAAATGGGGATAGTCTAATCTAGGAGGCCACTTGGAATCACCTCATTAGACAAAAGATGCTCCTAATGTTCTTATCAGTTAGGAATTTACAAAGGTTTTAGGACCCGCATGTCAGGGACTGAGGATGAAGGACAAATCTGTATTTCCTACTATAAATTACAATATCACAATTATTATGGTACCTACCCCTTCCAAATCCTTTATTATTCTAGATATATGAATTTACTATGTGTGCAATAGCTTCATTCTCTGGGTTAACAAGTACAAAAAGGTATAAACATCCACTGAACTACTATTGCACCTAGAAATACCTTCCCTACTCCGTTAGCTTTTCCTCATTCCCTTCCTCCATGTCCTCCAGAAACATGGCTGCTGCCAATCAGTAGAGGGTCCCCCAAGGCTATTAGAGCAGAACTAACAAGTTATCTTCAGCGTCTTATTTACCCCAAGATCCTACCACACTAATGAGGATTTTGATACAGAATTAGAATCTGAAAGAGAGGGAGGGAGGGAGGGAGGGAGGGCAGGAGGGAGGGAGGGAGGAAGGAAGGAAGGAATGAAGGAAAGAGGGAAATTAATTCTGGCACTGAAAAGTACCACAACCAAGGTGAAAGTTTCACTAGATGAGGTCATTAGCAGATCTGCAATGGCAGGAGAATCAGTCATTACACTTGAAGGTCAATCCAAAATTATTAAACTTAAATAACAGAGAAACAAACTTTGATAAAAAGGTCAACAGCCTTAGACACCTATAAGATAGCATCCAATGTGATACTGAATAGATAATTAGTCAAAAAGGTATAATGAATGTAAGTGAATGTGTATACCCCAAAATATGTAGGTGAAAGTTGACAGCAATGAAGGAAGAACTTTAAAAATTCAGTCATAATAGTTGGATATTGTATTTTATTTTATTTTTTTAATGAAGTTCAATTTGCCAACTATAGTATAACACCCAGTATTCATCCTGTCAAGTGCCCTCCTCAGTGCCCATCGCCTAATCACCCCATCCCCCTGCCCGCCTCCCCTTCTACTACCCCTTGTTCGTTTCCCAGAGTTAGGAGTCTCTCATGTTTTGTCACCCTCTCTAATTTTTCCTACTCATTTTCCCTCCTTTCCCCTATAATCTCTTTCACTATTTCTTATATTTCCCGTATGAGTGAAACCATATAGTGATTGTCCTCCGATTGACTTACTTCACTCAGCATAATACCCTCCAGTTCCATCCACATCCGAGCAAATGGTGGGTATTCATCCTTTCTAATGGCTGAATAGTATTCTATTGTATATATAGACCATATCTTCTTTATCCATTCATCTGTCAGTGGACATCGAGGATCCTTCCACAGTTTGGCTATTGTGGACATTGCTGCTATAAACATTGGGGTGCAGGTGTCCCAGCATTTCACTGTATCTGTATCTTTAGGGTAAATCTCCAGTAGTGCAATTGCTGGGTCGTAGGGTAGCTGTATTTCTAACTCTTTGAGGAACCTCTACACAGTTTTTCAGAGTGGCCATTTCACATTTCCACCAACAGTGCAAGAGGGTTCCCCTTTCTCCACATCCTCTCCAACATTTGCTGTTTCCTGTCTTGTTAATTTTCCCCATTCTCCCTGGTGTGAGGTGGTATCTCATTGTAGTTTTGATTTGTATTTCCCTGATGGCAAGTGATGCGGAGAATTTTTATTAAGATTTTATTTATTTATTCATGAGAGATAGAGAGGTAGAGACACAGGAAGAGGGAGAAGCAGGCTCCATGCAGGGAGCCCGATGTGGGACTCAATCCTTGGTCTCAAGGATCAGGCCCTGGGCCAAAGGCAAAGGCGCAACACTGAGCCACCCAGGCAACCCGATGCGGAGATTTTTATGTGCTTATTGGCTGTATGTATATTTTCTCTGGTGAAATTTCTGTTCATGTCTTTTGTCCATTTCATGATTGGATCTTTAATTTAATTAATTAATTAATTAATTAATTAATTAATTAATTTATGATAGTCACACACACACAGAGAGGCAGAGACATAGGCAGAGGGAGAAGCAGGCTCCATGCACCGGGAGCCTGACGTGGGACTCGATCCCGGGTCTCCAGGACCGTGCCCTGGGCCAAAGGCAGGCGCCAAACTGCTGCGCCACCCAGGGATCCCCGTCATGATTGGATTATTTGTTTCTTGGGTGTTGAGTTCAATAAGTTGTTTAGTTGGGTATTTTAATATTGTTCTCTCAGTAAGTAATAGAACAACCAAAAAAAAAAAAAATAGTAACTAGAGGAGTCCTGAATGGTTCTGTTGGTTAAGCGTCTGCCTTCCACTCAGATCATGATGCCAGGGTCCTAGGATCAAGCCCCACATCAGGCTCCCTGTTCAGTGGGGAGCCTGCTTCTCCTTCTCCTTCTGTTCTTTCTCACTATCTCTGTCTCTCTCAAATAAACAAATAAAATCTTTTTTTTAAAGAAAAAGAAAAATTATTAACTAGAGAATACCTGACCTGATTGATACATAGGTAACAATTCTCAAAGCAGAAAAATACACATTGTTCTTGAGTCCACATCAAAATTATCCTAGGTAGACCATATGCTAGGCTATAAAATAAGTCTCAGTTTTAAAAGATGAAGACCAGTAGTTATATTTACCAGTTATATTTATTTACCATGAGAGAATTAAATTGTAAATCACCTTTTGTAAGATTCTAGGAGATGTCTGAATATTCCAAAATAACATATTCCAAAATAATTCATGGACCTAAGAAGAAATCAGATGGGAAACTAGCAAATGTCCTAAACTGAATAAAAATAAAAATATATAGTATATCAAAATGTATGGTATACAGCTAAAATAGTGCTTAGAGAAAAGTTGTAGTTTTGAATGCTTCTGTTAGAAAAGTGGAAAGATCTAGGGTGCCTGGGTGACTCAGATGGCTAAGCATCTGCCTTGGGCTCAGTTCATGATCTCCATGAGATCTCCTGGGACCAAGCCACATGTCAGGTTCCTGGCTCAGTAGGGAGTCTGTGAGTCTGCTTACCTTCTCCCTCTGCCCCTCCCCTCTGCTCCTATGTGCTCTCTCTCCCTCTCTCTCTCTCAAATGAATAAATAAAGTCTTTTAAAGAAAAGAAAGGTGGAAGATCTAAAGTTAGCAATCTAAATTTTTACCTCTGCAATCAAGAAAAAGATGACCAAATTAAACTCAAGGCATGTAGAAGAAAAAAAGAAAGAAAAAAAAAAGCCAAACTGAAAATCAATGAAATAGAAAACATACAAAGAGTGAGAATCCTGGATACATGTTTGGTTTCTAGAATGATCAACAAAATGATAACCCTTCAGTTAGACTAATAAAAGAAAGACACAAGTTACCAAAATCTGAAATGAAAGGAGGCATCACAATAGACATTCCAAATGTGAAAGAATATTATTGACAACCATATACCAACAAATGGACAAATCCTTAGGAGGATGCAAATTACCAAGACTCACTTAAGAAGGCATGTAAAATCTGATAAGGCCTATTTTGAGTAAATAAATTATATTACTAGTTTAAAATCTCCCACAAATAAAATATGGCCCCGATGGGTGAATTCTATCAAACTCTTAAGAAATAATTAGTACTAATTGTAAACAAATTGTTTTTTAAAAATAGAGGAAAAACA